GTCGGGGCGGCCGCGCCCTCCCGAGCCGCTGCCTTTCCTGCGCTGGGCTCCGAAGCGGAGCCCACGGCCCGGCCGGCCCGGCTGCCGTCTTCCAAACTGCCGCCAGATGGGAGTGTTCTAAAAGTCTGCTGACTTCCGATCGTTACTCCTGCGGGTCGGCGTCCCGACGTCGGCTGGCAGTGCGGCCCTGGGCCCCGAAGAGCAGAGCTCGCTGGCTCTGTTGCGGGAAGTCTGGTTGGCGTGGGAAGGCCGCAGGGAAACGGGCAGGAGGGGAGGTCGATAGCTGCCGGTCTGTAGTGCGTGTGCGTGCGTGTCCTGCTAAGGGCGCCTTCTGCCACAGAGCCGCACGCCAGCTCGGGCAGCTATGTGCAGCCTTGAATAGAAGCTTACAATGGAAAATGGAAAAAAAAATAGTGGACCGAACATTTGACTTGCTTTTGGTTTTGTTTTTTCTTGAGGTTAGGGATTGGATCTGGGGCCAGATGGTATGTCACTGGGCTAGATCTCCGGCCCCACTGTTCAGTATGTTGAATGTTCCTAAGGCTGTCAGACTTAAAGCCTTCTTGTGATTCAACGTTGCGTTGGCGTTCGGCTTCAGGGCAGAAAGTCAGGGAGAGCTCGGCAGTCTGTGGTAGGGTCTCGGGCTGCCGGTGTGGAGCGTTCTGTAGTCTCTGGACTCTCAGGCAAACAATAGGTGCATTGCAAAGTGTGGGAGCCACATATGGTGGCCCGCAGGTGTACTCCCAGCCTGGGGAGGCTGCAGCAACAAAGGTCACAAGCTCAAGCCCACCCTGCGCATCTTAGTGGTTCAGTGAGATCTGCCTCAAAAATAAAATTCAAAAAGGTCTGGGGAGATAGCTCAGTGGTAGAGTATTCCTGGGTTCACTCCCTAGTACCATAAATACATACATACATACATAAAGTATCCTGGGACAGAGTTTCAAGCTGCAATTGATGTAATATATTAAGGTAGAGAAGATTAAAGACCTAATGGGTGCCTGGTTTGGTGGTATATGCCTGTGATCCCTAACACCTGGGAGGCTGAGACAGGAGGGTCACTGCAAGTTTAAGGCCAGTCTGTGCTATATTGTGAGCTCAATGCCAATCTAAACTACATAGTGAGACCTGGTCTCAAAAAAGCAAAAACAAACAAAAACACCCAAACTGTTGTCCTGAAGGTTACAGGAAGCAACGGCCTGAGGAAGGACAGGGAGAGCACATTGGTCAGCTTAGGCAGCGGAAGAACTGGCGCTGCAGATTTCTGCAGCCAGGAAGGCGCAGCCAGAGAGGCCAGTCTGGCTGTGTTTATATCCCTCCGCGTCACCACTGCGCCGGTGATTGCAGACTCCACACCCAGAGGCTGAAGAGGCCCCCAGTGGGCATCAGGGGTTATCTCCACAGGCTGGTGGGCCGGATTGCACAGGAGCAGCAGCAGCCCTCGGAGTCAGCGAGTAGGACCACTGCCTTGGGGGCCTGGGTCTCCTGCAGCGCCCCCAACTCTCCTGCTTGGGGTTCAGGCTTTTTAGACGTCCAGGCCTCTGCTGTGGCTCATGGCAGGTAGCATTGTTGCTAGTATTGGGGGGATAAATCCAATTTTATTTGTTTTTAAAGCCCATATTATGTTTTTAACATGTATTTTAAAGAATTAAAAACCTACAGAAAGTTTCCAGTGAATATCCATATGCCATACATCTAGATTCACTGTTTGCCATTTCCACACTAATGGTGGGTTTTTTCCCAAGGTGGGTTTTGCTATGATCTCCAGGCTGTACTCAAACTCCTGGGCTCAAGGGATCTTCCCTGCCTCAGCTTCCCAAGTACTGGGAGGATAGGCACCCTAGTGCACAGCTGTAACCTGACCCCTTTCTTCTTCCTCTCTTTCTTCCTCCTCTTTTTTTCTGATGTTGAGATTGAACCCAAAACCTCATGCATACTAGGGAAAGGCTTCATTCCTAGGTTATATTCACAGCCCATTTAAAATTTTTATTTTGGGACAATATCTTCTCTGGTTGTCCAGGCTGGCCTTGAAATTGCAATCTTCCTGCCTCAGCCTCAGCCTCCCTAATGCTGGGATTACAGATATGTGCCACCATACCTGATTTGAGAGCATATAACTTTGAATATTAATAAACTGTTAGGTCTGTTACCTAATAGTAGTTACTGTCCAAGGAAATCTGATTTGTGTTTCTTTAGTCTCAATAACCTTTTTTTTTTTTGTCTTTTTGAGGCAGGGTCTCGCTATGCAGTTCAGGCTGGCCTTGAGCTCACTTTGTAACCCAGGCTGGTCTCGAACTTGCAACAGTCCTCCTGCCTCAGCCTCCCGAGTGCTGGGATTACAGGGGTGCGCCACCATGCCCGGCTAGTCTCAATAACCTTTTGTTTCTACTTAAGAAATTGGACGAAGACATGCATCAAAAAATTGCGAAGGAAATGAACCTCTCTGAAACTGCTTTTATCCGAAAACTGCACCCAACAGACAACTTTGCACAAAGTAAATATGCATTTTATAATCCAGTCCTTTTTTTAAGTAGGAAAATTTATTGGAGAATAGGAATGGGGAACGGGGAGAGACAGGAGGGGTCCCGGGTGCATGGGTTGCCCTAGCCCGTCCTGAAAGACTCCGGAAGTTCCTTTAGGAGGAGGGATGATATTTAAGGCAAGTGCTTCTTCATGATTTATGTGCAGGGAGCAGGTAGCATGGGTTCCTGTTATCTGGGGGGTGTGCAGGGGTTTAGATGTGTCCCCCCAGATTCATGGATTGTACAGAGTTGGGAAGCTGGGCCTGATGGGAGATGGTGGCTTTATGTCATTGCTCTGGAAGTGAGTTTGTTAACTTGAGAGCGAGCTTCTTATAGAAATGAGTTCAGCCCTTTCTTGCTCACCTGCTCAGGCAAAAAAGTGCCCTCCTCCTCCTCTTCCTCTTCTTCTTCTTCTGTTTTTTTTTTGAGGCAGGATCTCACTATGTAGTTCAGGCTGGCCTTGAGCTCACTTTGTAGCCCATGCTGGTCTCAAACTTGCAACAATCCTCTTGCCTCAGCCACCTGAATGCTGAGTTTGATTGGTTTTTGAGACAGGGTCTCAATGTGGATTCTTAGGCTGGCCTCAAACTCATAGTGACCCTCCTGCTTCAGCCTCCCAAGTGCTGAGATTACAGGTATGTGCCACACACCCAGCTAAATTTCTATCCTATGGTGTGCTGTTATAGCAATGTAAAACGGGCTCAGAGGGTGCTGACAAACCCGAAAACTTACCCTCTGGGAGCTGCCAAGGAAGCCTGGGGTGCTTATCTTGTCTGCACGCGTTCTTTCCCATCATGTCTCGGTGCTAATCATGCAACGGAAAGACAGTGTTCAGGGAGGAGAGGAGAACAGAACATTGCACCCTCTTCCCGCACAGGGGTGACCATGTCTCTTCTCCTTTTCCCTCCCAAGGTTCCTGCTTCGGACTGAGGTGGTTCACACCGGCAAGCGAGGTCCCGCTCTGCGGCCACGCCACCCTGGCTTCTGCAGCTGTGCTATTTTACAAAATCAGTAAGATGAATCTCTTTAATGAACCCATCACTTAGCAAGAGCCAATAGTAGAGAATTCTAATTTACTCTTTTAAATTTTTTTTAATTTAAATTTTTATTAGTACATGATCTCAGTGCATAGTGATGGCATTCCTTGTGGGGAGTTGGGCCGAGCACTCGACACATCTTAGTTTACTTCCCTTTTCCCTTCTCCCCCTCCCCGATCTGTGGATGGACCCAGAGGCCACTTCTAAGGTCCAGCTAGTATGAGCTGTGCTGCTGTAAACATGGAAGTGCGAGTGTCCCTGTAATACAATGTCTTGAACTCTTTTGGGAAGACACCTAGAAGGGGAATAGTTGAGTCAAATGGAATTTCTATTTTTAGTTTTGTGAGGAATCTCCATCTGATTTCCATAGTGGTTGTGCTAGTTTACACTCCCACCAGCAGTGTTGAAGGGCTTCTTTATCCCCAGAACCTCACCAGAACTTCTTTTTTTTTTCTTTTTTTTTCTTTTTTTTGGTTTTGGTTTTTTTCCAGTACCGGGAATCGAACTCACAACCTTGTGCTTGCCAGGCAGGCACTGTACCGCTGAGCTAAATCCCCAGCCCCACAGAACTTGTTATTGTTTGACTTCTTCTTCTTTTTTTTTTTTTTTTGGTCTTTTTGAGACAGGGTCTCACTATGCAGTTCAGTCAGGCTGGCCTTGAGCTCACTTTATAGCCCAGGCTGGTCTCGAACTCTCAACGATCCTCCTGCCTCAGCCTTCCGAGTGCTGGGATTACAGGTGTGTGCCACCACGACCGGCTCTTTTTGACTTCTTGATGATAGTCATTCTTTGAAGAATATTTTACAGAAACATGATGGGAGAATAAAGGATTAGTTTACACATTGTTGTTTTCACTAAAAATGTTATACACACTGAGGTCAAATAAGTGGTCAAAGGTATATCCATTCCATGGAAGGATATTAGATCAGCCTGTGTGGAATTTAAATCATATTCTTATGTGGAGCTTGGTTTCCTCAAGAGAAACCTGATTTGTTCCTGTTGTTGAGAAACCACATGTGTCCTCACTGCTGGGCATGTCTTAGACTGACAGAGTTTGTAACTCCCTAGTTACTGTTGGTAAATACTTAAAACTCTGCATAGAAAACACGGAGACAGTTGCACACAGTAGCTTTAATTAACAGCCTCAGTCCACAGAGGAGGAAGTGTGGGTGGAAGGAGGCAAGGTAAGGAGCACAGGGCACAGTGTGAGCAGCTGGGAGCTGAGGTACGGGACTGCGAGGGCAGTGCCGAGTCCCATCAGTGTGTCCCTAGTCCCCAAGGCAGAGTCCAGTGAGGGTTTTCTCCACTTTAGACCCCAGAAACCCAAAGCAGGGCCCCCATCATAGCAGAAGACAGCACTGTCAGAAAATCTCAAGAAAACACAAAGGTGGCTGGAACCGACACCCACATCACAAAGCTCATCTTCCCGTTCTTGACAGACAACATGAACAGCACCCTCACCTTCACCACCCTGAGCGGGGAACTGAAGGCCAGCAGGGCCGAAGGTGGGGTCGTCCTGGACCTGCCTCTCTACCCTACGCAGCAGCAGGTCAGCTCTGCCTCGTTACTGCCCCGCTGTCTACAACCCTCCACTTGCCTATCTTACAGTGATTTCGTCTTTTTTCCCTTCTAGGACTTCCATGAAGTGGAGAATTTGATAAAGGTTGGTGAAAAGACTCAGATCTGAGCCTGTGGGATTTGGTCATTGCTTAGTGTTTGAACACAAAGGTTTGATGTGATTTGCACCCCAAAGATAAGCCACCTGCCGCTGTACATGCTCCAGCCGAGGCCCGATGAACACTGCACAGGGCGTTCAGCTGTAATTTTAATACTCAGCCTTTTGGCGAGAAGGCTGACCGCTTTTCCTTGTCATTCATTCCTGAGCAGTAGGGCTGGGGACGCGGCGCCTTGTAGAGTGCCCTCCACCGTGTGCAAGGCCCTGGGTGCTGTGTCCAGCACCACAAAGAAAACCAAATCCATGTGAGCCTCTTTGGTGGTTTGCAGGGAGAGAGGCTGCCTAGCCCTTGCGGGAGGGAGACTGGAGGGAGGCGGGAGGGAGGGAGAGGACATCATCTCCGGAGACCGGCCTCAGAGGAAGGAGTGCTGGCTTCTGTCCATTTCTAGCTGCCAGAAGAGACATAGGCCCGGGGCTCGGGGAGGAGAGCTGAGGATTTCTGGCAGAAAAACTCAGTCCGTGAAATTCATACAAAGTGGAGGGAAGACGGAGACTGCCTGGCAGCCATGGGTGTCCCCAGTTTCTGTGGCAGAGGATGGGGTGGAGGTGGGAGGGCTGTGCTTTGACAGAGGAGACCAGGGAAGTGTGAGTCCCTCCCAGAGCAGGTGAGATACCTGGCCTGGTCCCGTCATAGGGCTTGTGTGGCTATAGGTCTTAATAATAGTGATAGTAAGGCTGGGCATGGTCATGTACACCTGTAGTCCCAGCACTTGGGAGGCTGAGGCAGGAGGAGCAATTCAAGTTCAAGGCCAGCTTGAACTACATAGTGAGACCCTGTCTCAAAAAAAAAAAAAAGTTATAATAATAGAGAACATTTTGAGAGTCTCCTATGTCCAGTAGAATGTCACTCGTGCTATCCCATTTAATGCTTAGTGTCACCAGCAAGGCAGGTGCTACAGTTGTCCTATACCAGGCCTGGAGAGCAGAGCAGCCCCAGATGCCCAGGCGCTCCGTGTGCAGAGAAGGAAGGACAGGGCAGGGACTATGAGGAGAAAAAGGCAGATCTGTAAAGTGGTCTCTTGTGGGTCTATGAAGTTTCTCAGTGAATTCTCTTTTCTTTTTTCTTTTTTTTTTCTGGTACTGGGAATCGAACTCATGACCTTGCGCTTGCCAGGCAGGCACTGTGCCACTGAGCTAAATCCCCAGCCCCTCTCAGTGAATTTTCAGCTATAGTATTTATAGTACCTTTAGTGCTTTGCTTCTTCTCATTGTCAAAGAGCATAAGTGAGCATCCTGGATTCTGTTTCTGCAGCCAGTCCCCTCATGACCTGAGTTTCAGAGCCAAATTTGTGAACAAACTGCTTTAAGCACTTTGGTAAGAACATGGAGAATACATTTGATCTTACCCATAAGGCCAAGAAGCGACAGAAGCGATAGAAAATAACGATGAACCTTGTTTGTGATAGAGAGAACTTAACCTACTTTCTCCAAGCCTCAGGCTCAGCATTTGCAAAGTGACATGATAAAGGGTTATTTATCATGACTGCTGTCATGTTGTCTGCTCCCTGGAGACTGGCATGAAGATTTCCAGCAGAGAAATAAACTTTCAGGGTAACAGATGAACCCACACACAGCGGGGTGGTCAGAGACGGGAAGTCCCCACACAGCAGATAGGATCTGACTGAGGAGTCTCCAGTTCTCAGAGAGGTGCCACTGGCCAGCTCATGGTCGCAGGCATAAAGCCCAGGTGCCACCCAAGGCAGAGGGAGGACAGCGCCATGGGACTTTATGCACTGCGGCCTTCACAGGGGCTGGAGAAGCTGAAGCCACTTCCTGAAGGTGGCACAGTCACCTTGTAATCATCTCCACTGGTGGCTAGGGCAGTGCCGGACGGTGACCTGGAGGGGGGCTGTCCCCTCAGGGTCTCCCTCAGTGCCCAGGCCATCAACACACACACAGACAGCGTTCTTGGACTTGGGCACGATAAGTGCAGTCTTTGGTAGAGTGAGAGAGTTATCTTAAGAAAATGTTGTGTCCTTGGACTTGCCACTTGCTTCAATTCCTGTCACTCTGTCAGCCATGAGTCCCGGCATGTAGAACATTCTAGAAGCGGCTGCAGCTTCTGCACATGCCTTACTTCCTGTGCTCCTCAAGTGACTGTAAGAGGTGGGCACGAGGCCCCCACCCACAGAGACCATTAACAGTAGGGGTTTCAAGCTTTGATTCCAGGGCCACACAGACCTGGGTCAAGGTGCGTGCTTGTGTGTGTGTGAGAGAGAGAGAGAGACAGAGAGAGACAGAGAAAGACTGGGAGAAACTGGCCATGTGAGGGAGCGGTGTGTATTGAGCACTTGTGGGCAGAGGCTCTCTGCCATAGGGTCAGATAAGTGGCCCTGAAAGGAAACTGGACATCCTGGAGCAAGCCCACAGCCCTGAACCTGAGCTGGGGACACAGGTGACAGTGGGGGCTGGCTCAGGGAGAGCTCATCCTGTTTGTGGGGCTTGAGGACTTGACCTGGGCGTGCTCCTGAAGAGCTTTTTGTTCTGTGTCCACAGGCGGCCATAGGCGACACGCTGGTCCAGGATGTCCGCTATTCTCCAGATACCCAAAATCTCCTTGTCCGGCTCAGTGATTCCTACGACAGGTAACTGCCCTTCTGCACCGCGCAGCACTGTGGGGAGGCTGAGCCCCCACTTCTACTCTGGCTTGGTCTCCCGTGCGGTGGGCAAAGAACCAAGGCAGAGAGGTTCTTTCCCTCGGGGAGACAGTGTGGCTGCCCGCCCTCCACTGAGCTGTGGGGCGACAGGGCCCCGACTGCACTCTCTGTGCGCGCTTTGACCTGATCCACCCCCTTTTGGAACCAGGTCGTTTCTGGAGACCCTAAAAGTGAACACGGGGACTCTGACACAAGTGGAGAACACGGGGAAGGTGAAAGGACTTATTCTCACCCTCAAAGGAGAGCCTGCTGGGCACACCCAAACGTTTGACTTCTACTCCAGATATCTTGCCCCCTGGCTTGGTGTGGCGGAAGACCCTGTAACAGGTACTTCTTCCTTGGGTTTAGGGGAAGGTTAAGCATGGAAGAGGAGATTAACAATTAGCTGCGTAAGTGTCCTTCATGTGACCTTTCAGGTTGCTTCTTTGCTGTTGTTTTATTTCTTTTGCGACAGGGTCTCACTATCTGGTTCAGGCTGGCCTTGAACTCTTGGTGATCCTCCTGCCTCGGCCTCCTCCTGAATGATGGGGTTACAAGCATGCGCTACCACGCCCATCCGAGATTGCTTGGGTTTGGAGTGGCTTCTGCTTCACTATATCTCCCCTTCCTCCCCCATCCTGTCCCCAAAGTCTCATGGGAAAAGCACAAAATAAAGGAAGCAGATAGGCCGGTCAAACTTTGGAGCCAGACAGCCTGAATTTGCATTCCTAGTTTTCTGCTTCTCAACCTTGGGCAAGAGACAAGTGTTTAAACCTCACTTCCTTTTCCTATAAGATGTGGATGACACCCCACAGAGTTACATAAACACAGTGCATGTTAAGTTCTTGCTACAGGGCCTCGTGCATGGTAAGGAACAGCCCAGTAACTATTAGCTGGTTTAATAACCAACCAGCACCGCCCACCAGTGGGAAGGAGAGGTATGACTCCATGGAGGGGCAGGACTACCACACCTCTGCAGGATTTTTATCCTGTTTGAAAACTCTGGGTGGGCACAGGGTCACATGCCTGGAATCCCAGTGACTTGGGAGGATGAGGCAGGAGCATGCCGAGTTCAAGGCCAGCCTGGGTGACTTAGTGAGACTGTCTCAAAATAAAAAAGGCGGGGGTGTAGTTCAGTGGTAGAGCATTGCCTAGCACGTGCAAGGCACTGCGTTCTTTGCAGCAGAGAGAGAAGGCGGGGGCGAGGTGGGGATGCTCCATGGGGAGGCGTCCATGCAGGACAGGGTCTAGGCCAGAGGAGGCTGGGCAGAAGATTTGCAGCTCTGGCCTGGTCAGATGGTAGGGGCCAGGATGGCTTAGTTACTCTCTGAGGAACAAAACACATGAAACTCAAAGCTCAGCAAACAAGCACTTTTAAAGACTCAGGAAAATGCCCGCCAGCGTTCAGACACCCGGCTCAGCCTCTCCCCACGGAAGAGAAGCTCTGAGCAGAGTCACACGCACACAGCTGCTGCCCAGAGAGTTTAACTGGCACAGAATGCGAGGGTTTTTTTCTCCCATAGTGTTCTTTTTTAGGGTGTGAAGGTCCTTGGACCATGATGACCCAGGCTTGTAGGTTTGCTAGGGACCGAGGGGTTCTGAGAATGCAGATTTTTATTGCTAACACCAGACCAGACTTGGGCAGATCAAGATGGTCATGCCGACCAACTTGGACATCTCACAATAGTTAATGCATTTTTCTGAGTGGGAGGTTTTGTTTCCTACCCTTTTCTCTTCCAAAGACCTTTCTGTCAGTAATAACTTTACATTTCCTTCTTTTTTTTTTTTTTTTTTTTTTTTGGTCTTTTTGAGACAGGGTCTTGCTATGCAGTTCAGGCTGCCCTTGAACTCACTTTGTAGCCCAGGCTGGCACTGAGTAATCCTCCTGCCTCAGCCTCCCAAGTGCTGGGATTATAGGCACGGGCCACCATGCCCAGATATACCTTCTTTTCTTCTTTCTCCTCCCTGTACCTTTTTCTCTCCCTCTCTTCTTCCCTCTCTTTCTCCCTCTTTCCTTTCTTCCTTTTTCAGTACGAGGGGTTGAATACAGGGCTCACACATGCTAGGCAAGTGCTTTGCCTCTGAGCTGCATCCTCAGCCCTGTTTGTTTGTTTGTTTTTGAGACAGAGTCTCACTATGTAGTCAGGCTGGTCTCGAACTTGCACTGATCCTTGTGCCTCAACCTCCTGAGTGATGGGATTACAAGCGTTCAACACCACAATAGACAGTACTGTAAAGTTAGATCAGAGATTAGAGATGAAAATGAAGAAACAAAACCAGATATTTTGGCGCATGCCTGTAATCCCAGCACTAGGGGGCTGACATGGGAGAACTGAAAGTTCGAGACCAGCCTGGGCTGCAGAGCAAGTTCAAGGCCGGGATCAGCTGTGTAGTGAGATGCTGCCTCCAAGACAAAAGTAAATAATAAGCTGGGACCCAATCACGTGAAGGAAATACCTGACTAGGAAGGAACTTCTTTTGGTTCCCAAAGCCCGGGAACGCTAGCTGGGTGGAAGCGGTGGCTCTTGTCAGAGCTCTCAGCTTCCCTTGCACGTGTCCCCTAGGAGGAAGGAGATGCTCTTCCCAGAAAGCTGTAGGGGGATTTTGCGAAGGCCTTGATCTTCCCAAAGGGCCGACAGTGCACTGGTGGACAAGAATTAAAATGTGCAGTCTAACTTGGCCTGCAGGGCCAGAAACTCGGTAGATGCATCATCTGGGAATCTTATTCGTAAATTCATTCATTTCTCTCTCTTTGGTCCTTTTCTCTCCTTCCTACCTTTCTCTGCGTCTTTTTTTTCCTGGTACTGGGGATTCAACCCATGATCTTTCAACTAAGATGCACCCCAGCAGGCCCTCATTCTTGATTTAGGTCCTGCTGAATCACTAAGTTGCCAAGCTGGGCTCAGACTTGTAATCTTCCTGCCTCAGCCTCGCAGAGCCCTGGAATTGCAGGCAAGTGCCACTCCCCGTGGCTCTGTGTCTTCTTTCCTAGTTTTGTGCGTAATTCCACACATCCCTGTGGCCCAGTCAGCATAATGATCAAATGCTGTAAGGATAGTCGAGGCAGATAAGTGACTGAGATTCCTGACCAACCTCCCTCACAGGCGCCTGCTTCTCTCCTTCAGGAGTTGCGCACACTGTTCTCAGCGGCTACTGGTCCCAGCAGCTGGGGAAGAAAGACATGCGTGGTAGGTCTGCTCTTTTCCAGTTTCTGTTTATTTGGCTAACTTTATTTATTTATTTATTTTTTGGTTTTTCTCTGGTACCGGGAACCGAACTCACGACCTTGCGCTTGCCAGGCAGGCGCTTTGCCGCTGAGCTAAATCCCCAGCCCCTATTTGGCTAACTTTAAACTAGTGGCCCTCTCCTAGGTACATGTCCCTTGAAAATGTAGTAAAATATTCTGTCACTCAGGGGAAACAGCCCTTTACACCCTCAACTGTCACCTGCGTATCCTGCACCCCAGGCTCCTCTGCCTCGGCCTCACCAATAGACACTTGGGGCTCAGTCAGGGCTCAGTAAGACGGGTGAATGGCATCGGTTTGCTGTGTGTCTTTGGCCCAGAGAGGTTATTGATAATGTGATAATAGATGAGCCTTAAGTTTTTTATATGGCTGTCATAACACAGGATTGAGTCAGACTGACAATTTCCAGACCAAGTTCCCTACGGGCGAGCATGGCGCTGGGGCAGAGAAGAGAGACTGGCCAATGGAGGCTGCACCCTCTGGCCTTGGAGCAGGAGGGCGACCCCAGGCCTGGTGCGCTGCCTTCCTGGGAGCCTTGGGCTGAGGTGATTCTCTCCTGATGAGTCTGGTTCTTCTCCTCACGTGAAGGAAATACCACATCTGTCTGCTTGGCATGTGTGGTTGCTTAAGTACAGGGGTGATTGAAAATACAGTGAAAGCTTAAATTGTAAAATTTGTCTACGGTAAAAGGCACATTGGCATTAACCCCCTCAAAACACTGCCCCTCCCCTTGAACACACTCAGCCCATTGTTTTTGAAGCAGCTCGAAGTCCTCGTTCATGTCTCAATGAGGTGTGATCAAAACTAGGTGCCGAGTGCCACCCAGCAAAGGCAGGCTGGTGGAGACACTACGTGCGTCCTTACTCACCAGGCCTGGCACCGTGCACCTCCTGGCTCTTCCCAGGGTCAGAATGACCAGGAAAGGTGAACGTTCTGAATCAATTCAGGATGTCAGGGCAGCCACAATAGTGCAACTGAAGACACTCATGAAAGAGGACTTCCAGAAGTGCTTTGGAGAGTGGCAGGAATGATGGGATAGGTGTGTTCTGAGCTGGGGGAGCATTTTGAGGGGGGTTAATGGCAATGTGTCTTTTACTGTTATGAAAGTTACTTAAACACACTATTTTTCCTGAGAGCTTGTTTGGAGGTTCTAGCAGGGGAGCGCAGCTCCTCATATACCCTTGACCCAGGAATGGTCCTCCTCTATCGGGGTGGTCATCCTCCTCCACCGAGTGCGAAGCTTCGGGAAGGACACATATGGAGCATTGAGGGAGGAAGGGGACACCCGCGTAGGCAGCCAGCTCAGCCGAATCAACCCTGATGATCAATGGGGTGACAAATGTCGCAGCCAGATCACCCTCACATCCACACACGGTATTTTTCTAATCACACCTTGTACATTATGAGTAAGCCAGCCCTCTCTGTTGTGTTCAGAGCCGAAAAGATGAGTCCTTTAAAGAAGGGCCAGGAGCACCCCTCCTCCTCTTCTTAGGCTTCCGGTCCCTGCGTCTCTTTTTCCCACTGGTGGCTTTCTGCTGGAGGAGGCTGTGCATAGGCTGTAGCTGGGGTGTTAGAGGGAGTAGTAGGGAAGTGATGAGGAAGAGGTTCAGGAAGGGAAGAGGTGAGGCTGTGTGTTCTGTGGATCAAATCCAGTTTGTGACCCTGTGGGCAGATAAAGAAATTTATTCTTTGCAGTGTCCTGGATGTTAGGCCTGAAATCTCAGCACTGGGAGGCTGAGGCAGGAGGATCGCTGTGAGTTTGAGGCCAGCCTGGGCTACATAATGAATTCAAACCAGCCAGAACTACGCAGTGAGACCCTGTCTCAAAAAACCAAAAGGAGAAAGAAAGGAAAAGAAAGAAAGGGAGAAAGACCCGGGAGGACTCAGAGTGGGTGTTCGCTACAGAAGGTGGGAAAATGCGCCTCCTCTGTGTCTCCTGCTGTTCTCTCCAGCCTTTCAGTGCTCTGCGCGAGGAGGAGAGCTGGCCATTTCCCTGCGCCCGGACGGACGCGTGGACATCAAGGGCGGCGCGGCCGTGGTGGTGGAAGGCGAGCTGACGGCCTAGGGACGCCAATGCCTGCAGCGGCCCGCCTCTCCCCACACGAACCTAGAGAATGGGGGCCGCGCTGGCGGAGAGTCAGTCCTGTGTCCGCACTAGTGAACTAACGCAGCTCGGGCGCCACCCAGAGCGAACCCAGGGCCAGGCGGGGATGGAGCCCCAGGCCTGCCTGAGAGCCCCGCCGCTGAGCCGCAGCCCGCCTTCCCGGAGTGCTTTTGGGTGCAAGTAACCTGGAGAGAGTATCGCTGCCCCTTCTTGGATTATGACTTCCAGTCAGGGAAGGAACACTACCTCTAGGAAGAGTGAGGCTCGAACTTCGGTGTGAGGCCACAATGTGGGCTGTGGCTGTGGCTGTGGCTCAGTGGCAGAGCTCTTGCCTTGTGTGCACAAGGCCCTGGGTTCGATCCCCGGCACCACAAAGGAAAAAAAAAAGGCTTGGGTAGCCCAGCTTCTGCTTGGCAAGCACAGGTCCTGAGTTGAGTCCCAGTATAAAAAAAAAAAGATTCAATGACCATGTGGCCCATGTGGACATGTAAGTGACATACTAAGAAAAAAATTGTGATAAGCTATAAAGCTTTAGCAAGGTTATGTTTTTTTTTTTTTTTGGTACCAGGAATCGAACTTACGACCTTGCACTTGCCAGGCAGGCGTTGTGTCTCTGCTAAATCCCCAGCCCCCCAATGTTGTGTTCTGACTATAGAGAATATGAATTTGTACAGAAAAACATGAGCTGTGAAAATAGATCATGCGTGTGAGGTCAGATTGAAAGTAATCTTAATGAAGCTAAAATAGAATCTCCCTTACTGTTGCACTCATGTATAACAATGAAAAATTCAGACAAAGCCCCGAACGTTAAACAGATGTGAATTAGGGTATTTCCTGTGATAGTAAAATTAAACACTAAAATGATCTAAACACTAAAATTAAACACCAGAATTAAATTAAACACTAAAAAAACTCAGTCTCTTTCTTGACATGTGGCCTTAAAATGCTGACTCAAAGGAATTTTTCTCAGCTAGGAGGGGTAGTGCACATCTGTTATACTCGAACTCTGGGAGGCTGAGGCAGGAGGATCACAAGCCAGAGTCCAGACTAGGTAATTTAGCAGTTCACCAAGGTCTCATCTCAAAAAATAAAAAAAGGGCTGGGAGTGTAGCTCAGTGCCAAGGCCCAGGGCTCAATCCTTAGAGAGAGGTGGGATGGGGTGGATTTTTTTTTAATTAAACATTTTTTTTTTAATTTTAAAGAGAAAAAATAAAATTTCAGAACAAGATAACAGGAAGATAACAATGCTTAATACATTGTGTATTATTATCTTTAAATTAGTTACTGAGAATATAAGATATCAGCATTTAATTGTCCAAACAATATTAGCACAAACCTCTAACCACAATAAAATAAATTTTAACATAGCTATAAATTCAATTAAATGTAAAATATTGAATACCTATTGTTGACTTTAGAGTAGGGTCTTTTTTGAGTACCCAAGAGTGTTTTGAGGTGATCTTAATGAAAGCCAATTCTCAGTCTTTCCCAAAACGGCAAGCTAGTGGATAATTCTGCGGCGTTCTGCATTTTTCACCTTAATTGGTACCATGCTTTCTGTTTTTAGAATGTCTGTCTGTCTGTCTATCTTTTGATACTAGGGACTGAACTGAGGACTTTTGCACTGAGCTTTTTCATCAGCCTTTTTTATTTTGAGACAAGGTTGTATTACATTGCCCAGGCAGGTCTCTGGCTTGTGACCCTCCTGCCTCAGCCTCCAAGAGTGCTGCAATTAGACATGTGCCACCACACCCTACTATTTTTTTTGAGATAGGATCTCAATAATTTGCACAAACGGGGTTTGAACTTGCTTTTCCTGCCCTAGCCCCCAAGTTCTGGGATTGCAGGCGTGTGTGACCCCACCTGGCTTCTTGGGTTGTTTCTTGCAGGAAAGTTGCTGGTTGTAGCACATGTGTTAACTTTTCATCCTATGTTTTCAAACCACGTGTTCACTTTTTTATATTTGTTTTTTGTTTTTTTCTCACTATGGACCTCAGACTGACCTCAAACTCTGGTGGTCCTCCTGCCTCAGCCCGAGTGCTGGGATCACAGGTGTACACCGCCACGCCCGGTTCATGTTCACTTTTGTAAGAGATTTTTCCTGATGCTGTGCATTTAGCCATGGACAGCACAGTCAGAACAGCCAGAGAGACAGGTGTGATGGCACACACCTGTAATCCCAGCACTCAGGAGGCTGAGGCAGGAGGATCACCATGAGTTTGAGACCAGCCTGGGCTACAAAGTGAGCTCAGGGCCAGCCTGAACTGCATAGCAAGACCCTGTCTCACAAAGACAAAAACAAAACAAAACCAACAAACAAAAAACCCAGCCAGAGATGCCTACTGTGTTTACACAGCCCTGGCAGCTGGGTGGGAGTGGGGTCTGTGAGATGCTACCCGGGACGCAGGGTGGGGGAGGCTGGGCTCCCTGACTCAGAGGCAAACAGGAAGGCAGCAGCAGCCTGGGGCAGGAGGGGCGCAGACCCTCAGGGACTGGTGCATTTCCTGCTGCCCTGGGCACAGCAGGGTGGAGGGATTTAAACTCCAGTTGCAGCACAGTGTTCACCTGCGTCTGCTGCCTCTTCCATCTCCAGCCTGCTAGGCTGGGAGAGAGCAGGGAGAGCTGCAGAGATGCACCCTAGCGCCAGCTTGATGTGGCCATGTGTTGAAGGCAGTCGGCATCCCTTGGTGTGTCAGATAAGACAAGTGTACACTGAAGTATGAACATCTACAACATCACAGTGGCTTAAAATAGCACACAATTAGACCAAGTGTGGAGGCTGAGGCAGGAGGATCACTGCAAGTTGAAGGCCAGCTGGGGCTGTGTAGTGAGCCTGGACTACATAACAAAACCCTATCTCACAAAAGCAAAAAGCAGTTATACCCACTCACTCCGCTGTCTAGCACAGACCAGGAGCGCTGCACTCTGTAGGGAGACACGGACCCAGATGGCTTTTCTTGCTGCCATCCTGACATGTGGCCTCCATGGGTGCACACCTATAATCCCAGTACTTGGGAGGCCGAGGCAGGAGGATCACCATGAGTTTGAGGCCAGCCTGGGCATCTTAGTTACTTTTCTCTCATTGCTCAGACAAAATACCTGATGCCCAAAATTTAAGAGAGGAAAGGTTTACTTAGCTCACAGTTTGTGGAGGTTTCAGTCCATAATCAGCTGGCTCCAAGGCAGAGTGGCATGGTGAGGGACAACAGCCCAAGGCAGCAGAAGACAGCAAGGTAACAAGCGCAAAGGGGTGGGGCGGGGCAGGCAAGTGAGCTTCTTCTTCCCTGACACTGTGAGCAGGTTGCTCCCACCCACACCGTCATGGTGCCCTCCTCCTGCACAGGCTCAGGATGTGTACAGAGTGAGGACCTGGCCCTGACCCTCTGCTGAGTCCCTTAGTTAACTTCTAAATTTCTCAATTGACACAGTGTATCAACCATTACACTGGGCTGCATAGTGAGTTCAAGGCCAGCCTGGACTGAACAGCCAGACCCTGTCTCAAAAGAGAAAAGAAAATTCAATTTGAGTTTTAGAGGGGGTGTTCAAGGCAAAGCACTGTGGAGCAGATTATTTTCTTCCCATTTGCTCACGTGTTTGGAAAGTCAAACTGCAGTCAGAGAGCTGCTTGGTGAGTGTGGAACTAGAATGGATTGAAACAAGACAGGTGTGGTGCAGACGCGGTGAGCTTCCGCACTCACCCGTCCTGTACGCCGTTTACCTGGACTTGGCAACATGTGATCAGGTTGGGCAAAGGCGGTCTTGGTGTTTGACATGTTTAGTGTTAGAACAACCACTGTCCCCAACTTCTTCTAGTGTGTAACAGGACAATGGTGCTGTGCAGGACCGCAGAAAGAAATGACAGGGCTGGGGCTATGAATGGTGCATTTGTCTGCTGTGCTTTTAGGTGATTTGTGAGATTTTCAAGGATAAATTTGTTGTTTTGTTTTGTTTGTTTTGAGACAGGGTCTTGCTATGTGTTCAGACTGGCCTTAAACTCACTATGTAGCCCAGGCTGGCCTCGAACTCACAGTGATCCCCCTCCCTCAGCTTCTCAAACACTGGGATTACAGGTGTGCGCCACCACACGCAGCTTCAAAGATAATTTTGGTGACATTCAATTTTTGTTTGTTTGGTTTGGTTTTGAGACAGGGCCTCGGTATGAGACTCATGCTGGCCTTGAACTTATTTTGTAGCCCCGGCTGACATCAAACTCACAGAGATCCTCCTGCCTCAGCCTTGGGCGTGCTGGGATTACTGGTGTGCGCCACCACATTTGGCTTAATTTTTGCTTTATGGACGTGGTAGTCTGTCTCCAGAGTGGCTCCCAGTGACCCCACCTTCTCCCACTCAGAGCCTTCTGCACCAGTGCACGTCCCTCCTGAGCCTTGGTTAGGAAAGGGGGTGTATCTGTTTTGTTTGGCTTAGGGGTGTGGGATCTGGTTGCCCTGGGGGAAAACAGCTATTTCATCTTGAGCAGCCTGGGGAAGAGGCCCAGGTGGCAGTCAACTTGAGGCCTCCAGCTGACAACCATGTAAATTGGAGGTGGGTCTTGCGGGCTCCAGGCTACTGCAGTCCTGCTGACAAGTGTACCACAGCCTTTGGAAAGACTGAGCCAGAGGCATCTAGTTAGGCTGGCCTAGTTTTGTTCTATTTTGTTTTTTTAAATGAGGCTGGTCTTGAACTCAAGGCAATCCTCCTGCCTCAGACTCCTGAGTGCTGAGATTACAGGCATGCGGCTCCACGCCCGGCTAATTTTCTCTTTTTTGATTGTATATGTGTACACGCGTGTGCGTAATTTTCCCAGAGCGGGCTGTTTTCCCGAGTTCTCTCAGGGTGGGAATCCGCCCGCTACAGCTCCCTGAGTCCTGCTAGTCAGGCGCCCCGCTGGGATGTGGATCTCAGCCTCAGGCAGAGCTGCGCCAGGATGCTGGCGTGGGCAGCTGCAAAGCTTAAGAGCAGCAGACAGGGCTGCTCCTGGGGAACTGTTCTAAGCAGGAGCCCAGGCTCGCTGCGGCCGGCCAGGGCAGTGGGCACCGCCGCTGCTCCCATTGGGGCACAGGCGGGCAGACACAAGGGCGGGCGGGGCTCAGAGAGACCAGAGCACAAGGGACTGAGCGGTGCGGGCACGGAGGTGGGGGGCATGGGCTTTGTCTCGATTGTCTACACCTAGAAAGCTCTTGCGAGGTCCTGTGGGGGCAGAGAGAGACATGCAAACCCATCATTTTAAACTAGTCATCCAGTTGAATAGACGACATGTGATTTTCAAGGGGTAGATCAATAATACTGAAAATTGTTTTTTTTTTTTTTCAGACAGTGTCTCGCTATGTTAGCTCAGACTGTCCTTGAACTCACTTGGTAGCCCAGGCTGG